AATTCCAGAGAGGAGAGGGACTCTTTCGTACAATGCTGAGGGTTGTCGTTCGTCGACTCCGCTGCGGATCAAACGACAAATTGGGGCTGGCCGGGGGCTTGGGGAATTCAGCGGAGGCGGCGAGCATGCTAACAAGAAGAGAAAGCGGCGAGGGCTCGGGAACGGCGAAGCCGTTTTTAATTAGCGGAAGCCCTTGAGATTCAAGTTCATTGTAAGCCAACATGTGCTCGGGGTTCGCACGGGAACTTTTTCGGAAGGCTTCATAAACCTCCTCGACCGAGCGTGAAATCTTCGATCTGAATTCTCCCGCTGCCATCGATACTTTTGAGAGTTTTTCGAACTCCCCGGAACACAGAGGAGCTCTCAGGGTCGAACCTGGCTTTGTGAGAATCGCTCCGCGAGACCAGACTCGTACGACGACTTATAGTTTTCTGACGCTGAAATGTATCTCGGCGAGTACTTGGTTGCGGCTTCCAAACACAGGCCGTAAATTCCCCCGTCGCGGCCTGCCGAAGGGAAAGAGGAAAAGTTGCGAAACTTTCGGCTGGCAGCCGATGGCGATGATCACCACGTCAAGGTGCCGAAAACTACGCTGATAAGACTTCCCCCGACACACCAACGATGCCGTCGACAACACGCCAGCAACTCAAGGCAGGTCGAGAGAGTTCACAATCGCTGTTCGATGAGAGCGAAGAATTTCCGCGTCATAGCTGTCGGCAAACTTTTTTATCGGAGCACAATCGATCGGGATAATTCGGGGAAAGAACAAAAATTCCAGATCCTTTATCTCGCCCTCAGGTTTCCACCCCACGATCATGGGGCTAAGGCAGAAGGGCTGAGGCAGCTCTCTGTTTTCGGAGCGCTGTTGCTCCCGAACATTTGAGGCGAAAAATTGTGCCTCTTTCGGGAAAAAATTGGAATAGGGGAAGGAAAAGTTCCATCCACTGTGAAAGTCTCGCATCCATATTGGGAGCAGCACAGGGAGCCTGAACATCAGGGGACCGCGCACCGCGATCGATGGAGGGTTCGAAGCCTCTTCTCGATCTTCAGGAGAGCGGACTGACACTAGCTCCCGCATATTTCACCCAGGATGATCGCGCGTCTTCTGTCAGCCGACCATGTCGACCGAAGGTGTACCGGGAGCGGAAGTCCGTTTTCAGTGGGCGGTGTTGCTGCTGCTTCATTAGGTTTGATTCCCGCCGTGTAATTGCCCGTGATGGGCAAGCCGTCCTCGGTCTGGCAGGCAGGCGAAGAAAGTACGCCTGTCAGTTAGTCACCTCGGCATCCTAAACTTGCGGACGTATGTCTCACTGAGAAAGAATTCGTTCTGCCTCATCTTCGTGTCAACTCGCCCCCCGGAACAGAACATATTCCCAGGTGCCCGTCCTCCATCCCTCTCGTAGGGCAATCGAAAATACAAAGCCGCAACTCGGATCTGCACGTGAAATATATCTACCGAAGGGCTGACGCCTATTTGACGGTAGAGCGAGCTTTTCTTATCCGCATCTCTGTCATAGAGGTCAAGTAAATCCCTCATTGAGATGAGAATCCTGACAGCCTGTCTCAGTCGCGTCTGTCCATACACGGCACAGCAAAGCGTTCCGAGAGAACAGCGAGCCCTATATCCCAGTCGCGCATATTTTTTATGGCTCAGATGGAGTTTCTTACCCACAAACTTCATCCGCTCGTTGTCTTTGCTGGATCGCTACGAAAATACTGAGTGTTGGTATGCAAAGTCCCTTGCTCTGTAGAACTCGCTGTCAGATTTCCCCTGGAACAACGCTCCGCGCACCTTAATGAGGTGGTCTAACGACCGTGACATAGCTCTGCCTTCCTCTATCCGGTCAGCTGACGGCCCGTCTGTGGAGTGAATAAGGTTAACGGAGGTTGTCGCTGATTCCGTTTCGCCGGGACTAACGTTCTCATTAGGTCCCAGACTCACAGACACGGAGGTTCAGCTTGGTCGAGCCCCGTCACGGACGCTCGTTGCTTGAGCGATTGTTGGGAGGTTCACAAGCCGTGCTCCCTAGGTCGCAACGTAACGCTCGTTCATGAAGAAGAGCCGCGTTGAGCACGGGACATTCAGGGAGAGGACGAGTAATGCTTCCTAGAGGAAGTCGGAAGCTTTTCCGGTAGTGAAGCCGAGGATAAACGGATCCACGGAAGTGACCGTGCGCCGAAAATTCTGCGCAGCTAGACTCCTTGTCATGAAGGTGATCCATGAAGCCGTATTTTGTGGGTAGTGTTCGATAGACTGCTCCAAAGAAAAAAATGGTAATAAACGGTCGAAAGGAACGATCTTTTCTCAAATTCTCATAATTCCGATCAGCGTTGTCCCGTCGGCACCAGTTACCGGGTTGAGGAGGGAAGGAATACTCCGGGCAGAGGAAGGGGTGCGGGAACCATCTTTATTGGCTTCTTTGTCGACTACCGGTCTATCTCTGCTGAGAACACAACATGCTCCGGTCCCTAGACCTAGACGATGGACGATAAACGATAACTAGGGCTAGGCGTTTGTGGCGGCCGCCACATCCGCCATGAAATCCGCGATTTTCGGCCGGAATGCCCACCTTCCGCGAATTTCGGAGTATTTTTCACGGGATAAACATGGTCAGTGTGACTCCTCCCGTGACAGCCCCGCATCCCGTTCGATAGATTCCAAGGGGACCATCGATGGCGAGATATCCTTATCCGTTCTTCCGCGCCTGTCGCGTATTCGACCCCGCGAAGTTGAAAACAATCGAGATCGAAGCCGGCTACGTCATCGAAAATATACTGTGGTTTGAGGGAAACGATCCAGGGAAGGCTGAACTCCGACTATACTTGTCGGCCAAGAGAAAACTCGAGGCTTCGTCTGATCCGATAGTTTTGTGGATGAATGCGACGGCTCGTTTTCCCGAATTGACGAAGATCGCTCTGACTTGTCTGAGTGTACCCGGCAACAGTGTTTCGGCTGAGAGATCTCTCAGGAAACACGCGACTGTTCTACGAGATGATAGACGTAGTATAAAAAGTAAGAATCTCAGCATGTACAATATGCTTAATAATAACAGAGACGCACTGTGAGTTCTGGTCCTAGCTTCAAGCCTCCTAAGTACCATAAGGTAATTGACGACAGCAGACAAACATAAGCATGAGCTTTCGTTTTGCTTGTTCGGAGCCATGAAGCTGCCCTTGTCTTTTTCCCGAGTTAGCGCGATTCGTCGACAAAGCATCCGCCATAAGTCCGCGATTTTTGCTGGGGAGATCCGCCACAGGTCCGCGATATTCCCGAAAAAAGTCCGCCACAAACGCCTAGCCCTAACGATAACCGATAACTGTCTCGTTGGCTTCGCGATGGTGCTACTGGCGTTGACCTTGTAAGCTTCATTGATCGAAGCGCGTCGGGGATGGGGATGCTCTTGCCGATCACTCTTTTACACTGCGAGGGGCATCACGCAGTCAATGTGTTCCCAATGAGGGAGTCGGGATTCGACCTCCCGACCGGAAGCCTTGGAAGGAGCTACGAGGTAACCCCATCCCGCTTGGAGCGAGCTATGCCTTCTCAAGGAGGAAAATCACGGAGGCAGAGCGGCTTTCGCGAAGAGATCATGTCATGGATACAGAGCGGCTTTCACGAAGGAATCGCGTCATGGGCACAGAGCAATTTCCACGGAGAGATCTCGCCAAGAATACAGCGGCTCATCGCTCGTGCTTCACTTGTATGCTGTGCATTGTGCTATTCCGTATCGCGCTCGGGCGAGTGGATTCCCGCTTCTCTCAGTGCAGCAATCAGAGTAATAAGGATCGGCTGGGCTAGATGGAGATAACTTTGAGGAATGGCAGATCGGGAGAGGAGCTTTCCTCAACTCAGGGAACACACGGAGTCTCACCTTCCCGCACAGTTCGGTCGAAGTTCTCAGAATTCCCAGATTGTATGAAGCATCGTCTACGACGAACCTGATTGCGGGTAGAGCTCCGAGAATTCGGGAGAATCCTGGAACATTCGCCTTCACCCCATCCAAGCATCATCCTAGCTATTGTAGGTCATTTGACGTGGGACGTTCGACGCTCTGTGATCAGAAAGTCAAGCGAAACGAAAAAAGCGACCAGCTCTCCGAGTTGTCCAGGCACTGCGTGCTTTCGGACAGCGGACTTCCGTCCTGCGACCTGCGAGGCGCAGAAGCCACCCAGAAGTTATTAAACTTCGGCATAATTTGCGGCGAAGTATTCCTCCGTATTCCGTCTCCTCACAAGCTCTTTCCCATGCTTCACGGTCACCTCGGACGAGCCCTCTGTCACATACGAGTCGTCGTATGGTGTAGAAGAGGGCTCAAATCTGTGCATATTCCCGGATCCATACATATATTTCTATACAGAGTCCAACAATAAATGTCGCGCATCGGGGAAGGTCGCGTGAGGGGGGGGGAGAGAGGGAGAAAAAGATAACAATCACTGACTCGGATGAAATCATCACGGCAGGTGTCTATCACGTTAGGCAACTCCAATTAGTGCATTAGTGCACGTATGCCCTCATCAGCGACCGTGTAGGA